TGCTTAAAGATATAAAAATAAATCAGACCCTGAGACTTCTCAGAGAGAACCTGAACATTGCTTGAGAAGGTTCTTTTCTCATCGCCGACCCAGGACATCTCCCCTTCCTACCCTGCATCGACATCGACTGCAGCTGGTCTGCGGCACTGAATGGCATTCCATTGTGCATGTATACCACATTTTCTTTACTCATTCATCTGTTGATAGACACTTGGGCTAATTTCTTATCTTGGCTCTTCTGAATAGTGCTACAGTGAACACAGGATGCAGATGTTTCTTCTACATACTGATTTTACTTCTTTTAGATAGATACCCAGGAATGGGGTTGTTGATCAAAGGATATTTCCCAATTACACTATCTCAGGTAGACTGGAATCGCCTATTTTCAGGGGTGGGGAAACGGTCTGTTTGGGGTTTTACTACCTGCTTCCTTAAAGTTTTAGTTTGAGAGGATTAAAAATGGCAAAACAGGGCTGGGGATTTGGCTCAGTGGTTTGGCCGCCTGCTGCACAAACGCAAGAACCTGAGTTCGATCCTCGGTACCAAAAAAACAAAACAAACAAACAAAAAAGGCAAAATAAGACCAGCATCAAACTATAGCCTGTCCAGGACCTGGAACTGAGAAACCTAGAACACAACAACTTGATGAAGAAGGAAAAAATCAAAAAGAAGAAGTAGTAGATCTTCTAGAATTGGAAGGAGCTGACAGGAAAACTAGAAACTACCAAGAAGCTGGAGAAATGGAGCACAGGACAGACAAAAAAAAACGAAGCAGTCTGGAAAGCTCACCCTGGCTCCAATGACACAAGGCAAGCCCAGAGAAAGTCAGCAACTCCAGGGAAAAACAACAGAGAAGGCCTGCAGCACTAGCCCAAGGAAAGCCCATGACTTGTAAATTGCAAGAACAGCATGGGGTTTTACTCAGGAAGTGACACCTTCCACATGGCAAGCTACCGTTCAAGAAGAAATCCAGTGCAGCGCCTGCCATATTGAAGAGGGTCTAATCAGGAGCCATTTGGGGAAAGGGTTAATTGTTTAAGACTGAGCTACAGAAAAACTTCACTTTAGTGTTTCTGGAGTCACACTGCCATGCGTGGAAGATAGCCACAAGAGACAGTCGCAGAAAAGGCACAGGCTAGACAGAGGACCCAAGGGAAGTTTAAACTCAGGCCAGGAAGGACACTAAGGTCCCACCCTCCAACTTGAGAAGCCAGGCCTATGATGTGTGGCTTTTCCAGGGGCCTGGGTCTAAAAGTGCTTACACTGAGCCCAGTGGACTGCTTGACCCCTGCCCTGCTTCCCACATCTGGCACAGAACTCAGTAGCCTGTTTGCTTTCCCCAGCTACCACTGTGATCAGAGGTACAGACAGTGGGGCCTCTGGAGCAGGAAAGGAACCTCACAAGCCCACAGGCCATAAATCTAGGCAGAGAAAGCTGTGACTTGGAGCACACAAAGGGACACAGTGGAAACTGGAAGCAGCTGGAGTGAATATATCCCTACAGGGAAATCATTGAAGACCACAACCAGCAGGAGAGGTGGGGAAGGATTCAGCATTCACACATAAAACTGTGAGTGTGGGAAGAAAATATGTTTCTGTAGTGACTCAGTGTCCCTCCCCTGGTGGATTCCATTACTCCAGACCCTGGAAAGAAACCACTCATTCAAACACAGAGGAATCGGGAAAGGGTCTTTTTTCTTAATTGTTTTTGGGGTCTTTGAGTCTTTCTCTTTTCATTTTCTTCTTTTTGTCCTTTTTCTTTTTCTTTATTTTACTCTCTTTTCTTTTTCTTGTTTTCTGTTATCTTATTTTTTTCCACTTCATTAA